GATAGATAGATAGATAGATAGATAGATGGATGGATGGATGGATGGATAGATGGATGGATGGATGGATGGATGGATGGATAGATGGATGGATAGATAGATAGATGGATGGATGATAATTTTTATGGATCGTGTCCTCTTCCGGGCGTGTTATAGCCGGATCTCCTTAAAAGGTCATTAAAAGGAGTTGGCAAAGCGCGTGAGAATTAAAGGCGTTTTTATTTTGTATTTTTTGGCAGAGAGGCTCTGGAGTCCATGCCCTGAGAGAAAGTGACAGATTAGACCCCCCACACCCCCAGGGAGCTCATTAACAGGTGGCAGAAAGCCCTGACATCTGATGCCCCCCCCCCCCCCCCCCCGTCTGGACTCACAACCCTGTGTTTTTATCAAATCTATAATTTTACATTAAAGTATCTTTTGTCCTTAAAACAAAATGTGAATGAAAAAGGAAACATGGCAAATTTAAAGAGATGTTTATTTTTGTTTACTGTGTCAACAATTATTAGAATAATCAAAATACATTTTCCCAACGAAATATGCGCGCGCGCGCGCGTGTGTGTGTGTGTATGTGTGTGCGTGTGTGTGGGACCTGTTCGCCGCCAGCCTGGAGGAGATGTATCCTCCCGGGATCTGCGTGACGATGTAGCCCCAGAAGAAGGAGCCGTGGATCAGACCCACGGTCTCCGGGTCCCAGTTGAACTTGGCTTTCTGGTGGAGCAGACAGAAAACTGAACTGGAAACGTGACGCGGCAGATTTTACATCCCAGTACATTCCAGTATCATAAAATATTTGTTTTTCCACATGAGAGCGCTCTTCTGTCTATAAATCAGAATAATCCAAATTTTCCAACAAGATATTTTATTTATTATTAATAAATAAAACAAGCTGAGAAAAACAGTTTCGTGTTTTTGAGCAAGAAACAAAACGTTTAGTTTCACAAATTAAAATTATTAAAGCGTAAATTAATGTTTGTCATATTTTGTGGTTTTATAATGAAATCTTTGAACATGCTTTTAATTTAAATTCTATTTGTATGGAACATCTTTTGATTAAATGTCTTCATTTCAACAACAACGAAATCATTTTAAAGCTTAACAAACCACGAGATGTCATGAATTATAGTTTATTTAAAATACAAAAGTTTAATCAGGATATTGATTATTTGAATTCAAACCTGCTCTCAGTCAGATTTGTTGTTTTATTCGCTTCATCAAATAAACTGATGCAGCAGGAAAAGGCCTTAAATTTACAGAACAACGTTTCCCCCTCTCTTTTTTAAACAAACAAATAAACAAACAAATGAACGAATAAATAAATAAATTAGATCCTGTGATGCTTTCCAACTTTTTCAGAGTCACAGTCAGGTTGAATAATAATAAAAAGCATAAAGAGAACATGAACGTGTTTAAATGAATTTTATGAATTTTTTCCACCTTCTTCAAAAATTATTTGCAACAATAACAACAAAGAAAAGCCTTGATGTGTATTTGTTTGTTTGTTTGTTTGTTGTTGTTGTTGTTGTTGTTTGCAAGCATTTTGATTTCTGAGATTATTCATTGAGAGCGCGGGAACCTCCTGTGATTGGATGTTAACGACCGTGCGCGCGCCACCGCCGCACCTCTTTGATGATGATCTTGCCGCCCTGGTGCACGGTGCTGTTGTTCACCATGCTCACGATGGCCACGCCCAGGTTGCACCGGATGCCGAAGGAGATGCAGAAGCCCAGGCCGCTCATGATGGCGATGATGTAGCGGCGGGGCAAACCGCAGCACGTGCAGTCGCACAGGGGGGGCTTCTTCTCCGCGGCCTCCCGGGGCCGCCCGTCCTCCGTCAGCTCGATCACCTCCCCCCCTCCCTGCCTCCTCTCCATCACCCTGAGCACAAGAAGGAAGCAGCTGCACATCACAACCTCACGCACGCTGCTGGCTCTGCGTGCACTTTATGAACATTGACATAATTATATTGCATTATATTATATTATATTTTATTATATTATATTATATTATATTATATTATATTATATTGTATTATATTGTATTATATTATATTATATTGTATTATATTATATGATATTATATTATACTGTATTATATTATATTATATTGTATTATATTATATGATATTATATTGTATTATATTGTATTATATTATATTACATGATATTATATTGTATTATATTGTATTGTATTATATTATATTATATTATATCATATTATATTATATTATATTATATTATATTATATTATATTATATTGCATTATATTATATTGTATTGTATTATATTATATTATATTATATTATATCATATCATATTATATTATATTATATCATATTATATTATATTATATTATATTATATTATATTATATTATATTATATTATATTATATGGTATTATATTTTATTATATTATATTATATTGTATTATATTATATGATATTATTTGATTTAAGGAGGAAACACGTAAAAATATATAGTTTGGATGAGCTCCATGAGAGAGGATGTAAAAAGGAGCAAAGTGTTCCAGAATGTTCCGCACTGCAGCAGCAGCTTCACTCATTAACATTCAGAACCAGAACCTGCAGCTCCAGACTGTCATGGGCTTCCCTCACAACACCCCCCCCCCCCCCCCCCCCCGGAAAATCTCATGTATTTGGATAAAGGCCAAGTTCCGCAGTTAAATGGTAAAAACACGAACATTTAATATTAAATCTCTGCAGCAACGAGTCACATCTGGGCTGATGTGCTGAACTGGACGAGTTTTCAACAAAAAGGCCTTTAGGCTCAGAAAAGACAGAAAAACGAAGCGAAACGAATTCTGTTTCTTGGACTAGACTGAATCATTCACGTGCACATTTGATGATCTGAAGCAGTTTATTGTAACTTCACGTGAGGATCAACATATTTTCGCTGCTCATTACAAATAAAACTCAGCGCCTTCGGGTTCACACGTCACAGGGAAATAAATGGGGGGGGGGGGGGGTGTCTTAAAATAAAAATAAAAGCCTGATCTGCACCTGAAACGGTTTAGGCCCCTGCAGCATCCAGAGGCATCCAAACACCATCAAAGCGCGCGCGTACACACGCGCGCATATAAGGTTACGTAATTTCGTTCCCACATCAGAAGCAGGACCAGAGTTCCCAGTTAGGATTTGAGCATTCCATGTGAAATATTGAAAGAGTGATGATAAATATTGGAATCGATCCTCACCTGTGCACGTGAGCCAGGCTCTTCCCCGCAAACTCCTTGACCCCCGCCGTGGCTCTGGTCCTCATGGACTCCATGTCCAGTTTGTGCGTGTTCGCGTGTCCTTGTCAGAACGCTCTTAGTGCCTCATGTTCCGGCGCAGCAAACCGAACTCGAGGAGAGCCCGCGCGCACGGCGAGTGTCCTGCAGCTCGAGTGTTCAAACACCGCCGCGGAGGGAAATAAATAAATAAATAAATAAATAAATAAATAAATAAATAAATAAATAAATAAATGTTGAGACCTGGTCACAAAGAAAGAGACTCAGACGAGCTGCGCGCCTTCATCCTGCAGCAGCTGGAACCAGCAGCTGGAACCAGCAGCAGAACCGAATCACGACGAGGAGCAGGACAACGGAACCAGCAGCAGAACCTGCAGCGGACTCAGGGGCGACCGGGGAGGGGGGGGGGGGGGGCAGATGCAACAAATGGAAGAGGGAGCGAGGCTGTTGGTGTCTCCTGTGGAGCGCGCACCCTGGTCTGACGTCGCATTCAGCACCGAGGTCAGCGACAGCTGCAGCAACATCTGGACACAAACGATCCAACAACTGAAACAGCAGTTTGTTTGTTATTTAGAAGAAAAATAAATAAACATGAAAAGAGTTCATTTGTGCACAAAACTAAAACTGCTGTATTTTTGTCTGCATTAACACAGAAACACAACAATAATGATTTTTAATGAACGCTTGAAATATTATTATTTGACTCATTTATTTTTATCTTTGTGTGTTTATGAATTTTATCCTGTTGTTTGGCTGCTGCTTGAAATAAAGAGGTAAGATGAAAGCTGCAGCTCTCTCGAGGGCGGTGCTATGGAAACCAAATGAGCACGAGAGGACCCCCTCACACACACACACACACACACACACACACACACACACACACACACACACACAGGCCTGACACACACACACACACACACACACACACACACACACACACACACACACACACACACACACACACACACACACACACACACACACACACCACCACCACCACCACCTCCACTCATCTTTCCAACAAGCCTCTCCCCAACGTAGGAATCCATCAATAATTCAAGCATCTCCTCTGTTCTCTTATCCCCCTGACAACCACATCTTCCTGAAGAAGCATCAGCTTCATTTGAAGCAACCTCCTCATCACATATTATGGGATGTCAGGAGGAAATAACGCGGTAACCATCACACTGAAGGCCGAAAATCAGCAGTAAAATCATAACAACAGTAACAACAACAATAACAACAATAACAATAAATTCAATAATAATAATAATAATAATAATAATAATAATAATAATAATAATAA